GTGAGAATAATGACCTCTATGACCCATGCCAGATGCATCTGGTCAGACATGCAAATGCAGCTGAAAATCATTGTCATAACACTCTAAAAGCTGGAATGTTGTTATTTTCATTATACGTTAATACACCAAATATTTTCTTGACTAATTATCAGTTTCTCAAAACCCAAGTTGATGTCTTTTCAAGTTGGGTCTTGTCTTGAGATGTAGCTTCTGTTACACATTAACCTGATGGACTTAAGTGCTCATGGTAATTAATGTGCATTGTCCCATCTTAAACAAATACATATTAAATGTAGTAAAGCAGAAAGTGTCTATAAAACTGCATTTTCTACCCTTTTTTTGTAATGAAAAAATTACACAATAATCGATATTAAAGTAGATGACACATGTTTTTTACCGTCCATCTGGACTCCCAGTACAAACGGTGATCGACTGTTGGCCACTGAGTCGCTTGAGATAAAGTCAACAGTATTACTCATTTATTAGTGGCAGCTAGATTGGCCATTTTGACCATTCGCATCCCGACTTGTTTTGAGACAGTCACTATCAGTTTGCTATGTCTGGAAATAATGTGTTGTCCTCTACAGTGTGTGGGTGATTGTGTGTTACTGTTGGACACTCAGACAGGCCAGTATGTTTATGATTACCCCCGGTGTGTTCCTCTGTGATTGTAGCGCACAAGTGTTTGATCGAGCAACAAGTGTTCCTCTGAAAGTGAAAGAGGAGGAGGAGTGTGGGAGGAGAAAAAGCAAATAAAACAACAGTGAGCAAAGGCTGTTCTTCATTCTCATGCTAACTGCTACCTACTTATGCACGTCTGGAAAGTCTGAGAAATTACACACACAGACGGTACATTTTTACACCCATTGTCATTTCACACTTTGTATTTTTTGTTATAAAGAACAATAATCTATAGCTAACGGTCTGCACAACCTGTTGCTTCAACCACCTACTATCTGCATAAAATCCAACGCTGAAATAATCTTACCTTGAATTTGGAGATTTAAAATGGCCTATTGTTTGACTGAAATTCCATTTTTGTATTTTGAATTGCTAAATGACTACTTAGTAGGTGGATTTTTGACCATGTTATCCAAATATATCACCCTAACGGCCCCTACACACGGCGGCGTGCGTTGCCGCTTCAACGCTTCTGCCCATTCACTTTGAATGGGGTGACGTCACGATTCGCCGAACTGCATTGTGGGAGCAAAGCGTAGCTTCTCTCGCGGTGCTCGCTGCAAAAGTAGAGCAATGTTCTACTTTTGCCGCCTCGACGGAGGCGTCAGCCAATCAAATCCCGCATATGCAAATTTGACAGTACAAGCGCTAGCCAATCAAACCGCGTGTATGTTGGGAGAGCCAGACCGCAGTTATTTCCCATATGTAAAAAAATGGAGGAGGAAATTATCGTGGCGTTAGGGAATCACCCGGTACTATATGACCAGTCCCTCTTTACATACAGGGATACAAACCGGAGGAGCCAGGCATGGGGGGAGGTGGCAGAGACAGTGGGTGAAACTGGTAGGTTTTCGCCTGTTTGGGGAGTTTATAGCCAGTGTACTTCGTTTGAATGGACAGCTAGCAAGCATAGACAGTATATTTAGCCAGCATGGATGTAGCATGAATGCTTTGCTTTGTATGTCCGGGACGGGACATTCATGTGATTGGTTGTTGGTCGCGTTGTTCGTAAAAAATCCCCAAGCTTCAGACACGCCCACCGCCAAGCGGTAACGCACGCCGCCGTGTGTAGGGGCCGTAACGGCCCGTCCACACTACAGCTTCGACAGCTTCAAAAACGGTTTCCAACGCGTCTGCCCATTCACTTTGAATGGGGTGACGGCACTTTTCGCCGAACTGCATTGTGGGAAGCAGAGCGGAGCTTTCCTGGCGTTTCACGGCCCCTACACACGGCGGCGTGCGTTAACGCTTCTGCCCATTCACTTTGAATGGGGTGACGTCACGATTCGCCGAACTGCATTGTGGGAGCAAAGCGTAGCTTCTCTCGCGGTGCTCGCTGCAAAAGTAGAGCAATGTTCTACTTTTGACGCTTCGACGGAGGCGTCAGCCAATCGAATCATATGCCAGTACAAGCTCTAGCCAATCAAACCGCGTGCTTGGGTGTCTGGGGCGGGAGATTCATGTGATTGGTTGTTGGTCGAGTTTCAGACCCCCCCGCCGGCAAGCGATAACGCACGCCGCCGTGTGTAGGGGCCGTCAGGCTGCAAAAGTTGAGCAATGTTCAACTTTTGAAGCTTCTGAAGCTTTCGGTGGAAGCGTCAGCCAATCAAATCATATGCCAGTACAAGCTCTAGCCAATCAAACCGCTGCTTGTGTGTCAGGGGCGGGAGATTCATGTGATTGGTTGTTGGTCGACACGCTCAGCTCCAAGCTTTTTTTGAAGCTGTAGTGTGGACGGGCCGTAATTGTAGAAAAATCAGCAAGAAATGGTGGTGAGGAATATCTAATATCCTACATAAATGTCCGTTCCACCTATTTTTAACAAGATAACTGAAAAACTAAATGTGAAAGATAGTTACGAGTCTATTACATAGCATTACAAAAATAGTAAAGTAGTTGAGTCATGTTGATGAAAGGATCAAGTATTATGTTCAGATTCATAAATGTCTGGCAGATGTGCTATCAACATTATTTAGAGTTATGCAACAGTGACTAAAGGGTCAGAACAGGCCAGCGGAGATTATCAGAGCTATCCATCTCTGCCTCAGGCCGCCATCCAGAAAATCCATTGACAAGCCTGCACATCCATAATATAATCTGTTGTTCTGGGAGTGTTTGGTTTTTTTCAATCTCTGGAGCAGCTTGTCTCATTTCCTCTGTTTGCATTTGCATGTGGTGCAGTTAAACGCATGATTTCATGCTAGTTTATATGTCTTTCCATGTCCTCCCAAAGAAGGAAGTAATACAAAAACAAAGCATGAAAATAGAAAACCCATCCCTTGTAAAACAGCAGACCTGTAATGAAAACTACATTTCACTTACAACTTTCAACAATTAGGCGTTAGAGTACTTTTCCCAGGAATAGTTCCGATAGTTCCTTGGATTTTGCGTTCACACCAAAAAGATCTGGAACTAGAACTTTTTTTGGGAACCTTTCCCCCCTTTTCAGTCCCTGCTAGAGAGGTGGTACTTTCCTGGGGAGAAAAAGGTTCCAATTTCTGATTGGCTGGGCGAATTGCAAACCACGCCCGGTAAAACTCAGAAAGGTTTTGTGAAGCCGCCATTTTATTTGCTCGCATTAGCATTATTAGCATTAGCCCCGCGCACCAACGGGGAGAGACTAATTTATGGCAACATAAAAGAAAAGATGGGAGCGGTGGAACTGAGGAGGTTTCGGCGCTTCTGGTGATTTACTCGGAAGGTACACTCCGGGGACTTCGGGCGGCAATATACGCCGAGAAGTTGTTTGCGGCCTGCCAGTAAACCCAAAGCAGCAGAAGAAGAAGAAGTTACGCCAGCTGCTTCAGTTGCGTAATCCTCCCTCAGGGACTTATTCCGGTGTGAACGCGATCTACTAGAATAGATAGTTCCGGAACTAAAGATTTCCGGGGAACTAATTTCCCGGAACAGTACTTGGTGTGAAAGGGCCTACATTGTTTGACATTTGTTTAATGCAGTTAGCATTATGGACTGTAATTTTCCTCCATATGTTTAACTAATGCTTCACAATCAATCATAATTGTATCAAAGTCATAATATGGACTAGTGCAATATTAAAATCACAGAAAGCACAATATTTGCCAAAGAATAATATAATAAGTATTGAAGAGCTACACAGATATCCCGGCCTAAAATCGTTTTACAGAATTAAAAAAACATATTTTCTTGGTACAGATCCTCTTAAAAATCACACCATGATCATTTCAATATATTCCTTTTTTTTTATATCTAATCCCTATTTCAAAATCGCAAGATTATACAATGATACACTTTTCTTTTTTTTCAAGTGATGGAGCCCTATTTTGAACTCAATGTCATAAGATAATAAGAAAATAGCACCTTTCCACTATTATATTGCATTACATCAGATAAGGTAATAATAGTTTTTTGATCAGTCAGTGTAATGTGATTATTTGAACCAAACATTATGAACTAACATCATCTGGCATTACATATCCTGCATAACAACACTTTATCAGGGTGGATGTTTTTCCTTCGGTTACTCCACCTCCTCACATGTGCCTGTATAACTGCTGTGAGGAGGATATTGTTGATGAAATAAAATGCGAGCTATATCTGGCTGAATATTACACTGTATTAGTCAATTTTGCTGGGTCGTGTCAAATTATGTTGACCACCCAGGCGACAGAATGTTAGTGGGAGACTTGCACAAACATTTTCAAACACGAGCACTAGCACATAAAACTAACTTGTACAACATTTGGACACACACACACACACACATACACACACACACACACACACACACACACACACACACACACACACACACACACACGCTCGTGAAAACAGTCATATGCCCACACCCACAGTCTCTTGCTCTGCAACAGGTGGAGAGAGATGGAGGGACAGACAGGAGAGATGACTGGTCATGTTGTTTTCCTTCTGGTCATAGGAAAGAGTGACTGCATGAGAGGAAAGAGGTGGAGGAGAGGTGGAAAGGTTTTTCATGTGCCGTTCCACAAAGCCCACTAACACTACAACTTTCAGTATTGTAGTTTCAGTGTGTGAGTGTGTTTCCTCTGAAGAGCTTCTGTGGTAATGACAGCAGAGAAGTGTGGTTTATACAAAAGCCTTAGCCTACCTCCACATTAAGCGCTCTACATATTTATTTGCATCTCCACTAAGATGTTCTAGGTTGTTCTATTAAAGGCCGCAGTCTGACATTTAAACAACATGAAGAAGGGACAACAAATATGTTGGTTTTGGTCTGTTTGATTTTAAACATGTGTTTTTTTACAACATCATTCACAGTTTCGTACGCTAACCGTCCCGCTTTCTTCATCTCTCTTTTATAGGGATCGCTTTCCCAGAGTGGGCTTACAAGCCAGAGTCGAGCCCCGGGTCCCGACAGATCCAGCTGTGGCACTTCATCCTGGAGCTGCTCAGGAAAGAAGAGTATCACGATGTTATCGCCTGGCAGGGAGACTATGGAGAGTTCGTCATCAAGGACCCGGATGAGGTGGCCCGGCTGTGGGGGGCCAGGAAGTGTAAACCCCAAATGAACTACGATAAGCTGAGCAGGGCTCTCAGGTATGAAGACACATACACTGAATGTGTTTGATTCATTTGGTATCTGTAGGTAAAAGTGTGTAGTCACTTCCTCCTGTTCCTGCTCTTTAACTTCTCCTCTGTGGGGACCACCAGATGAGCACATCACTAAGATCTGTGTTCCTGACAGAGCTCCATATTCACATGTAAATCTACCGTATGCTAATATTTAACGAGCCCACAAGCTCCAGTTGAATGGGTTATTTACTGAGGCTGTGCAATCAAATTACATAAAAACGATTTACAATAGCCATGGTGGTTATATAAATCCACAGCGCACTTGGAGAAATAGCATTAGGTAACGTAGGTGGAAATTCACTTTTATAGAACAGGTTGACCCCCCCTCTGAAACCAGGCCTGATGAGTAAACTTGCAGTAATCTCCCAACAAAGAGAAGTGTAGGGTTGTAGTGCGTTGCCACATGGACGGTAGGAAAAAGCATGAGCCTTGTGGGACTAGCTTCTGGCTCTCAGGGCATCGGATGAGCCGGAGTTTGTTTTTCTGCTTCATTGACAGAGGATGAAATTGCAGCTTTTCCATATCATTCGAGAAGGACAGGCAGTACTTTTCCCAGGCTCAGCAGGAGAGGAGACCTGCTCACTTCCAACAGAGATATTGTCGGGTAATGGAGGGATACTTTAAATAATTTCTAAGCTGTTAATGGGGAACACTCAGAAGACTTGCAATTCTTGTATACTTTTTTTCTTATATTCAGGGGCATTTCTGATGAGAGCAAATGAAGCGAGAGGGACAAAAAGAATGACAAGCAGAAAGGGTCCCTAAATGGAAATGATCCATACAGCCTGCGCCCAAACTCCAAGGACCATCAGGGTTCCTTGACTTGAGTATCTCGTCTGTGGAGGTCACCGAAGTAGTAAAAGACTCTGCAGTTACATGACGTAAGAGAAGAATGAGGGCTGTGATCATGTGTCAACTGCTCACCAACCAAGCTCTGCTTCTTTTATAACATAAAGAAAGTTTACCAGAGCTGAGAGAATTATTCAGAACCCTCAAAAAATGTGCTCACTAGAAATAAACTGGACCAAGGCTTAGTGTGACCTTGAGCGAGAGCACCTCTTCTCCTCCGTCCGAGGTCAAGCTGTTTTTGTCGGACGGCGGTTTAATAAGATGTGAATGCATTGATCCAGCAAGAACTTTCTTTTCCTGGGACTATTGTGGTAAAGAGAGAGCTGAGCCTGAAGGACATGCATCAGTCGATCCAACGCTCACGTTTGGTCGTGAACTCTTGAGTTGCGTGTCTTTGAAATACTTGATCACGAGGCCATCACACTACATGCTCCTTCCCAGCAACAATGTGGTTTCCATGTGCTAAGAGGCTGTGAGCACGTGTTGAGTGAAGAGAGAGGTTGTTTCACACACACAGATAAACTGGCTTATGACTCTTAATCACACACGGACACCCCCGAGGCTACACTTATTGTGAAGAAACATTCTGTCGTCCAAATTACCAGATAACCATCCGTGACCCTGACATTTGATTCCAGTTATATCAATGACCTGCTGGAAGCATTTCATTCAGACGCACATACCCCAATAGCTTTAACTCCCCCTCTCTGCTTCAGCCACACATTGCATTGCCTGACGAAGCTCTAATAGCCCTTTAATCGAGTCTATATAAAGTGTAAATGTCGTAAGAGTGGCCGCATGCCTACACGCTATTGACCTGGACAAGTTTAGATACTATAATGCTCCAAGTATAGTTACAACACTGACCCATTTGGCTGCTCACACCTATAACACCCTTTTCCATTAGTGAGGTAATACGATTCCCCACCATGATCATGATTGGCTTTACCCGCTGATTTGGACATAATTATAAAGAATAACATTTCTAACTTTTGTATCTGATGTTCAGTTTGAGTTTTTCTCTGGCTAGATCTGCTTTGCTGACTTTTAATGGGCTTTGCTTTGTACGAGGTAAATCAAATTGGACTGACATGAAGTCAATAAAGCAAATTGCTTCAAGACGACCAACAAAATAGTTTGGGGTTATGCAAGAGAAAAAGTCCTATCAAATAGATAAAAGCGGAGCTGCACAACACATGCTTCTGATTTTGTTTGTGCTTTTGGCTTTTGGCTTTCGCAGTGAGACAATCGGCCATAATATATTTTTATTATAGAAAGAAGAAACATCTGGAAGAACCTTGTGATCTATATTATAACACAATAGCACATTTACGTTCAGCTATATACAGACAACACATATCTCTGTGCGACTTTTCTCAGCTGGTGCTAGTTAGGTAAGAAGAGCATCTCGTTCACGGTGTTGTTTGACCCCGGCTTTTATTTACAGCCAAACAAAGCTAAGATTAGGCTAAGCACTTCAAAGAAAGCTAACATAAGGAAATGCACTGAACTTCTTAATTTAGGGTTAGCCGGGGGGCTTATGTGTGTGGTCATTTACACTGGTGAGATTAAGATAATGTCTGGTACAGATCCTGTGGGAACATAGGGAATTAACATGGACTACTAATGTGGGCATGTACACGTTCCCAGTCTGGATTTAGGATTCCTGAATGAGAGAGGAAGTGGATATAGACGAGGATGCTTCTGGTCAAGCTGTGTATTTATAGCACGTCCATCCTCTAGAGCTGTAGGAGATTTTGAGCTTAGGCTGCAGTAAGTGCGTATATATAGCGGTACTTAGTGCCCTGTGATGGGAACGGACTTACGGGCTGATTATCAGAAAGTTTCCGACACAGGAGTTTCCCCTCTGGCACTCGCGTGTCCTCATCCAGCCTCCTTCAGCCAGGTCGCTCCCTCTGTGCTTGTCATTTAAGCGGAGTCACTTCAGGCTTAGATACACACACACGTACACACACGTACACACGTCCGCATAGTCACCTGATTTGACACCAGAGCTTTGGTCAGAAGACACTGGAAATGAAGCCCTGCAAGATGCACATCAATAGTAAAGTGGGAGGAGGATTAATGGCTCTGAAGATTAATGAATGTATAAAGGAGGCACAGAATGCACATGTGCATGGTAACTGTCCCCACATGTAGCCGAGCGTTGGGGAGCAGGCCACCTCGTGCCCCTCATCTGGAGAAAACCTGGAGTCTGCTAATAATGGAGACCACAGTCGGCATGTGGCAATTAGCACACACACACATGCTCACACACTTTAAAGGCATGCCTGTTTTGAAGTTTTCTTTTTATCACTTAGCCTTTGTAATTATTATTTTTACCTCACTGGTGTTATGCTTTCCTGTCTGCCATGCACATGGTGGAAATTCCCTTAATCAGCACTGTGTGTGTGTGTGTGTGTGTGTGTGTGTGTGTGTGTGTGTGTGTGTGTGTGTGTGTGTGTGTGTGTGTGTGTGTGTGTGTGTGTGTGTGTGTGTGTGTGTGTGTGTGTGTGTGTGTGTGTGTGTGTGTGTGTGTGTGTGGTGTGTGTGTGTGTGTGTGTGTGTGTGTGTGTGTGTGTGTGTGTGTGTGTGTGTGTGTGTGTGTGTGTGTGTGTGTGTGTGTGTGTGTGTGTGTGTGTGTGTGTGTGTGTGTGTGTGTGTGTGTGTGTGTGTGTGTGTGTGTGTGTGTGTGTGTGTGTGTGTGTGTGTGTGTGTGTGTGTGTGAGAAATGTAAGGAAAACTTCCAGATATGTTTGAGTGCCATTTCAAGAGGTTTCGTTTGTGTTTCTGACACATTGTTTTCATTTGATCCGATCTCCCTATACTCGTAACTGATTGGTTTATTTATACATGGGCTCTCGTTCTGTCTTAAAACCATGGAGGCATACAAGGAACTTTACACGGGTCCTGAGGAGATGCAGTGTTTATTTAGAGAGAAACTGGCACCTACTCTGTACATTTACTACCACTTGACTACTTTACTGTTCATTTCTCCTGCCAACACATGCATGCTCTGAGCGTAACGCATTCTCTCTCTCTCTCTCTCTCTCTCTCTCTCTCTCTCTCTCTCTCTCTCTCTCTCTCTCTCTCTCTCTCTCTCTCTCTCTCTCAATTCAAATCGCTTTATTTTGCACAACACTGTTCCTTTTTCCAAAGCATATTTGAATGTTGTAATGTTAACACCACCACACGTCATGCGCACTGAACAAACAAGCTCCGTTACTCTAATAACACGACGAACGCCTGCCAGGACTTCCTTTAATTAGTCCAAACCATCCAAAAACTGCTTTCACACTGGAAATAGACCGGACCAAGGTTCAGTTTGATCCAGAGCGAGACCCTCTCTTTTTGTCTGTCCCATAAAGAGTGTCATCAATTCAGCTCTTTTTAAACCTCACCTTATGATTGGATATTCAGGGCTATGTGACATGTTTTGTAAAAGTAACAAATTAAAGGAAGTAGACAATCTTAGACCAGCTGCATGATCGGGACGAGGAAATAAACCTGTCCACTTTTTTAAATCGGCCAAACATCCACCCCGGCTCCTCATAAAGGAGACGTGTACCAATACACAAAAGAGAGTGAGGAAAGGAAGCCTGCTGCCAATCAGCCGCTGCAGCATGCTGGCTTAATGAGTGTAATCATGCTAAGAGGTCCCAGCTCCTGAGACGTTCAGCCCCCCGTCCTGCAGTCAGCAGCCCAACACAGGGGTCAGAGGTCAGGCGGCCTGCCAAGCACAGCTGGCAAAGATTAACAACACAGCCCATGTGCACATTCACATACACAAACGCACCATTGTACAGACTCTTGCCAAAGCATGTTTGTAGTGTTGGCTTAATGTCCAGCATTCACTTCACTGTGACAGGACACCACAGCTGGAAAAATGCCACCTCAGAAAATCACCTAAATAGAATTAATGTTCCACGAAGTTCCTGAGTTGGGTGCTGCTGTAAATTCAGAGCATTTCACCTTTTATTGTATCCCGAAGGAGGTACATGAGAACAGGCATTTAATACCCAACTGTTATAAGTATAGTGAGAGTCTGGTGCGGAGGTTGTGTTCTCCTGATATTGTTTGTCAATGACGGTAAAATCTGAAAAACTTCCATCATT